TATAAATGTCACGTTCGAATCAAAGTGGCATTAAAATCATATTTATCTCAATTAAGTCAATATTAATACTTTAAAATGGTTAACTAGACAAACTATAAAGGTCGATCCTAAGCCGGGCTATCCAAGTGCCTAAAACCTTCCTGAGGTCGTACCTTACTTCCTTTCCTAGACTCTGATTTATGGGTCACTTTCCTTTCACGAGGGATTCAATTCATTGTGCTAAGAAACAAAATATTTGTCCTAAAAAGTGAATGGTGACTCTTTTAAAACTCTTACCAAAGTAAGAAACCATTTTCTAAAAGAGACCCTCGATCAATTTTAAAAACATCATTTTATAAAACTTGGTCTTTCTAAAGATAATGAGTTTTCAAAATAAAATAAATCAATTTCGAAAAATGAAAATAAAGATAAGAACCCCCCATCGTCTTCAAGTATTATTTAATAATAGTGGTATAATGTGAAAATATCATATTATATTCATACTATTTGCACATCCATCATAAGTTTTTCAAATTACATTGTATATTTGCATACAATAAATTATTTGATTATATTAATAACTATTTGATTATATAATAATAGACGAACATTTCCATGCTAAAAAAAAGATTTGTTTATATCCTTTTTTTAACATGAAAGGATTTGCCCCTCAAACTCATATGCCCATAAAAAATTCGCCACGGTCCATTCTCCTTTTCACACAAAAATCTTAATTCAACTACAAGAAAAAATTGTTGATTAACAATGATTTTTCATTTCTAAATGAAGAAAATTTCTTGCTAACTCCCTTTAAATACAGATAAACAAACAAAAAATATCTATAGTCATATGATGAGTTCTAAATGGGTTTAGAAATGGTTTCATTTTCGTTGCTAATTTAGAAAATGAAAATTTCGTTTCTAAAGAATTTTATTTTCATTTCTAGTTTTCAATCTAATAAGGAAAGTTTTTTTATTTCCAATGTGAAATCCCTTTTCAAATTCTGTATTGATTCATTTCTAAAGCTATTTTAAGATATTGTATTCTAATCTCTATGTCTAACTTCTATAAAAGTTATATTTTAGAAGTATTCTCATTGTCTGATGTTAATTTTAATCTATTTTCAAATATTTGATGATTTAAAATAAATTCATTCCTTAAGGTAGAATAAGAAAGAAATCTTTTTAAAAAAAGCTATTGATAATGAAAGCAAATATCTTTCTGATATATTGTGTGAGTGTTTGCTTTACAAAGAATACCTATTTATAGTGATACAATGCAATCCTAGCTTAGCTGTACAGATTAGGAATCTTATCTACACATTGATACAAAATATATTTAAAATACAATCTGTTATTTTATAATCTATCAGTTGGTATTCTAACTCTATGTCTAACTTCTAATAAAAGTTATATTTTAGAAGTATTCTCATGGTTGATGTTAATTTTAATCTATTTTAAATATTTGATGATGTTAAAATAAATTCATCTTAAGGTAGAATAGAAAGAAATCTTTTAAAAAAAAGCTATTGATAATGAAAGCAAATATCTTTCTGACTATATTGTGTGAGTGTTTTGCTTTACAAAGGAATACTATTTAATAGTGCAATTACAATGCAATCCTCTAGCTTAGCTGTACAGATTAGGAATCTTATCTACACATTGATACAAAATATATTTAAAATACAATCTGTTATTTTATAATCTATCACTCCCCCGCAGTCCTAGGGTCGAAGGGCGAACACTAAGACTGGCTCTGAAATCATCAAAAAGAATCTTTGGCAAACCTTTGGTAAAAATATCAGCTATTTGAAACTTGGAGGACAGATGTCGAACTCTTACTTCTCCTTTCTAGACTTTCTCTCAAACAAAATGAATGTCTAACTCAATATGTTTTGTTTGTTGATGCTGTACCGGATTTCCTGTTAAACACACTGCACTCACATTATCATAATGAACCAAAGTGGCCTTTTGCATTGGACAGTTGAGTTCTAGTAACAAATTTCGTAGCCAACAGGATTCAGAGACAACGTTGGCAACATCCCTATACTCGGCTTCAGCACTTGATTTTGAAATGGTGGGTTTCCGTTTGGAGGACCAAGAAACCAAATTATCTCCTAGAAAAATACAATACCCAGATGTTGAACGCCTAGTATCCAGACAGCCACCCCAATCAGCGTCTGTATATGCGATAAGGGAATGGGAGGAAGAACGGTGTAAATGCAATCCAAAATCAACCGTACCTTTAATATAACGTAGAATTCGTTTCAAAGAGTTCATGTGCTCCTCGGTTGGAGAATGCATAAACAAGCAGACTTGTTGAACAACATAAGAGATGTCTGGTGTTGTGAAGGTCAGACATTGGAGTGCACCAGCCAATTGTCGGTAAAGCTTGGAATCGTGACATGGGGAGCCTGTTTTGCCACTTAATTTACCTTTGGTATCAACTGGAGTAAGGCTGGGTTTGCAATCAGACATGCCGACTCTCGCTAAGATATCCTCTACATATTTCTTTTGTGAAAGGAAAAGACCTTCCTTGGAATGGGTTACTGCAACGCCCAGGAAATAATGTAGAGGACCTAAATCCTTCATTTCAAACTGTAAGGCTGGGTTTGCAATCAGACATGCCGACTCTCGCTAAGATATCCTCTACATATTTCTTTTGTGAAAGGAAAAGACCTTCCTTGGAATGGGTTACTGCAACGCCCAGGAAATAATGTAGAGGACCTAAATCCTTCATTTCAAACTCCTTGCTTAAGAGAGAAGAAATATGATGCCGAAGAGCTACTGAAGATGTGGTCAAAATAATGTCATCGACATATAACAATAAATAAGCAATGTCTTGATTGTTGCAATAAATGAACAAAGAATGATCAACTTTGCTATGAGAAAAGCCAAGAGTAGTGACATAATTCGCAAACCGTTGGAACCAGGCTCGTGGTGCTTGCTTAAGCCCATATAATGATTTCTTTAGCAAACACACATGATCAGGTTTTCTAGTGTCTCGAAATCCTAGTGGTTGATGCATATACACAGTTTCGGACAAGTTACCATGGAGGAAAGCATTCTTGACGTCTAATTGATGAATTGACCATGATTTAGATAAAGCAAGGTTGAGGACAGTCCGTATGGTGGCCGGTTTGACTATCGGGCTGAATTTTTCGGAGCAATCAATTCCTTCTCTTTGAGACCGGCCATCACCTACAAGACGAGCTTTGTACCTTTCAATAGAACCATCAGAATGCAATTTATGTGTAAAAATCCACATCGACCGAATAATACGAACATTTGCAGGCGAGGTACTAGTACCCACGTTTTATTCTTAATTAGAGCCTCATATTCATCAATCATAGCATTTTTCCAATTCAAGTCATTAAGTGCTTGGATGGGACTACAAGCTATAGGAGAAATGGTGGAATGGTTAACATGATAGGACTGTTGGTATTTTGGATTAGGCTTAACTATCCCATGTCTACTCTTAGTGACCATTCGATGTATAGAAGGAGAAGGTGGATTTGGTGGAGGGGAGGGTGGTGGCTGCATCCCTAAAGGAGAAGGTGGGGAGACATGATTAAGTTGTTGAGAGTATAAATGATGAATGTCTAATGGAGATAAAGATTCATCTAAGAAATCATAGGATTGTGAATTCGATGTAGTATGTTGAGAAAATGGAAATTGTGTTTCATCAAATTGAACATGGCAACTAATGATTATTTTCTTAGATGTCATATCATAACACTTAAAGCCCCGATGACTTAATGGATACCCTAAGAAAACACAAGGGACCGACCGATTCTGCAATTTATGAATCGTATCGGCTGGAAGTAATGGAAAGCAAAGGCAGCCAAAAACTCATAGATTGGAGTAAGATGGAATCTTGTGATATAGTACATGAGTTGGGGACTTATATTCTAGGATCTTAGTGGGTAAAATATTCTGAATATAAGTGGCCATGTCAAGGGCGTGATGCCAAAAATAATTTGGTACAGAAGAATGAGTTAAGAGAGTGCGAACAATGTTATTGATGGTTCTTATTTTTCTCTCTGCTTTGCCATTTTGAGCAGATGTATAGGGACACAAAAATCTGATTGTAATTCCTTGTTGACTACAAAAACTAAGAAGCCGATGATTATCATATTCTTTGCCATGATCACATTGTAGTTGTTTGATTGAAGCATGAAATTGATTTGTAATGAATGTATGAAACTTGGTAAAGACATGGAAAACCTCAGATTTTCGTGACAATGGAAAGAAATTGGAATAATCATCTAGGAATAAAACATAATATTTGTGTCCACAAGAACTCAAAATTGGTGAGGTCCACACATCACTATGAACAATCTCAAAAGGCATAGAAGTAGCGTTAAGAGAATCATGAAAAGGCAACTTAATAGACTTCCCAAGAGGGCATGAATTGCAAAATGACAATTTGTCTTGATTACAATCATTCAGTTTATTACTCCTAAGAGAATGAAGAACCAATTTGCTAGGATGACCCAAGCGAGTGTGCCAGAGATCAAACGAAACAGCAGCAAAAACGGATTGAATAGAAGACTTTAAAGCAGACTTAGGAACGGTGAGTGGATAGAATACCCCAGAACTCTCACATCTTAGTATTTTGTTCCCCGTCGAATAAGCCTTCACAGAAAACCCAAAAGGATCAAACTCAACAGATACCCAATTGTCAGTGGTAAACTTTCGAATAGATATAAGATTTTTAATCATATGAGGAGCATATAGCACACTACGAAGATGTAACGGAGGGTTGGTATGAGGGAGACGAACACTACCTTGACCATGAATTGGAATGATGCTTCCATTACCCACAACAATACCATGTTTTTGGCTCAAATTAGAATAAGAAGTGAGCGTACCTTGATTTGCAATCATGTGGGATGTGGCGGCTGAGTCCATATACCACTGCTCCTCTGGTTGCTTCAAGGACATAGTGTGCATTGCTTGTTCAATATCTGTAGGGGCATAGTCTGTAGACTGTGAAGGAGTTGTAGCAGTATAAAAGGATTACTGCGTTGGATGGGGTCCCAAAACTCCTTGTTGCCTTGCTGTTTGTTGTGGACATGGTGCCCAGGAATTTGTGGGATAAGGACACGGTGGTGCCATCCATGGCTGAGGAGAGTACCAGCCATTCCATGGGGAAAAATTCCAACCAGGCTGCTGCATATATGACTGTTGCTGCGAAAAGGATGGTTGTTGCTGGGTTCGAGACTGACCTCTACCGCCACCATGATTCTGATTTCCACGTTGATAATTAACCCCTTTCTGCTTCCCTTGGTGTCGTTTTCCCTTGTGCCCAGTAAACTGAGATGAAGCAGTCACTTTCGGTTGCTCAAAGGATTCAGATGTAAAGTTAGCTTTCATGAGCATCGCAGAATTAGATGTTGCCTCTGATTTAGCATGTTCTGCTTTGGTTGTTTCCTCCAAAAGGAGCATCAAACGAGCTTGAGAAAACGTTGGCAGGGGAACCTTGTTTTGTACAACTGTAACAAAACCTTCATACACATCTGTAAGACCTGTTAGAAGGCGCAAAACCATTCTTTGGTCATACACTTTTTCACCAACATTAGCAAGTTGGTCAGCCAACACTTTAAGACGACGAGTGTGCGCCTTAGCATCTGGAAAATCTTGTAGATGGGTGTTTGCAAACTTGGTTTCAAGATGAATAACTCGGGCAGTCTTGTTGTCCTGAAACAAATCTGCTAGGTGATTCCAGGCATCAAGTGCAGTATCGGTTGGATTAATTATGGTATTAAGAAGATCATTAGAAATCGTGCCATAAATCCATTGTCTGACAATATTGTCAATTCGAACCCATTGAGCTTGTTCTTCAGCTGATCTTGTAACCGAACTCGTGATCGGAGTGATATGATCATGAGTAAGAGTAGCTTGAGTATGAATCGTAAATAAGGTAGCCCAATTGTTATACTGGGCAGATTCATAATCCAAGGTTAAAGGTATAGCCAATTTGATATTGGTAATAGTTGTAGCAGGATGAATCTTTTCAGCCATTTGAAGAGAGAGAAGAAGAAAAGGAAGGAAATTGAAAGAAGAGATGAGAAACAGCAGAAAAGAAAACAAAAGAGGGTATAGATTAGGGCTCTGATACCATGAAAGCAAATATCTTTCTGATATATTGCGTGAGTGTTTGCTTTACAAAGAATACCTATTTATAGTGATACAATGCAATCCTAGCTTAGCTGTATAGATTAGGAATCTTATCTATACATTGATACAAAATATATTTAAAATACAATCTGTTATTTTATAATCTATCAGATAAGGAACTAATTTTAGAAGAATTTCGTTTCTAATAAGTTTCTAATTTCGATTATCGTGTTACTACGAAGTTGTTTCTGAATTTAAGAAACATATGCCAAAATGAACAAAAATTTGCCTATCACAATCTTAGTCAAATTTAGTATATAAGGAATACTAAATTTAACATCCTAATATCCTCACCCGTTGAGGATGTTAAATTAATAACTGAATTAAATTAAAAGATTTCTGTATTATCTAACCATTAATTTAACTCTCACTCCAAAATTAATAAACATAATTCATAGGAAGATTTAGTACAGTTGAATGATCCTAATTATGGGAATTATGTCAAAATACAAAGGATATCAAAGATAAATTATATTGTAATATAGCAATATAATTAAGATACCGTACATTATTAATTCAGTATAATGAATATTACTATGCATTATATGAATTACTTGTCATATACATTACATATTATGTTCATAGTTAACTTGATAATATTGGTATATATACATATTAAAAAAAAATAAAAGTAATAGGGACATGTAGAAAAGTTATACATTAAACAACAAAATAAAATTAAAAAAGAAATAATAAAAAATATTAAGCTATATACAAGAGCAAAGCCAGCTCTATTGATAAAAATGGTCAATAAATGATAAAATTTAGATTGTACTAGGTTTATGGCTCCTCTGCTGGTGATCTTTTTTGCAGTGAATAAATTTATATAATAAATAATTTTATAAATTTACACTAAATTTACAATAATTTATACAGTGCAATTTACATTAAATTTATAATGATTTACAGTGCATTATTAAGATACATTTGCACACACGTAAGGTAATCCAAGCCATGCCAGTCTACAACCGAGCACATGTATCTCAAACCTGAATGTCTAACATCTGCCAATTAAATGCAAGCTGCCAACTTTGCCTTATAGAAAAACATACATTTACAATAATAATAGTTTATTATTTAATCGTAAGAAAAGAAAATCTTCAGTCGCCTTATTGTTTACGCATGCGTTTCAAAGTTAATATATATGTGCAATAAATGATTATATAGATTTACAATATATTTACAATAGTTTATACAATGTAAAATTTATATAATACATTTACAATAGAATATTTAATCTCTTCATAAAGAATTAAAGTATACTGTCAATGTCGTATTGCAATCAGGCACTTTTTAGACTACCCCTATTAAGAAATGCATACATCTGAATACGCAGTTGTAAATAAATTAAATTTAGATTTGTTTTTCCTTGTTTACCTCTTCTAAATTTCCTTTTTGAATTTAATGCTTATAGGCATTAAACTCAATAATAAATTATATCATAAACAAGGAAAAACAAATCTAATATTATAAATTGGAACAGAAATTAAGTTACATCAAATCCCTAGTATGAGAATTTAGTTCGACATAGTAATTAAATAAAACTCAATTAAACTTGAAAATAATTCCATAAAATATCATAAACAGGAAAATACAAACTCTAAATATTATACACAATTGGAACAGAAATTAAGCTTTAGCAGTCAACATCCCTAGTATTCGCACGAATTTTAGTTCGACATAGTATTCAAATAAAACTCAATTAAAACTTGAAATAATTCCATTACATCAAAATGTGAATAATACAAGTAAAATAATAAGATTAAACGAGTTTTAGAGATAAAAACTAGTCAACAAATAACGTGGCGCCTTTTTTCCCCTTGAATCTTGACCACCAAATCTTTGAACACACTTCGCAAGTCTCTGGGAGAGAGAGCAAAAACAATAGAACAAAAAGAATGATATCATACAATGAAATCGCTGCCCCTCCCTTCTGACTATGGCTTAGTTTCTCTTATTTATATACGACCTTTCTGGAATATCCTTCCGAGTTCATCTTAGGACAAGTCGAATTTTTAAAATTAAGTAAGAAATCTTTGGCAGATAGGAAACTCGCTTTAGCGCTCTGTACTTCTCTTTCCCAATTAGCGATTTCTCCCTAAGCGTCTCAACATAAGATTTTAAAACTTGATGAATAATGAAAAGTAAAAATAAGATTAAGAGTTTAGAGATAAAAACTAGTCAACAAATAACGTGGACGGCTTCCTTGAATCTTGACACAAATTTTGAACACTTGAAGTCTTGGAGAGAGAGAGAAAACAATAGAACAAAAGATGATATATACAATGAATCGCTCCCTTTGACTATGGCTAGTTTCTCTATTTATATAGACTTTCTGGAATATCTTCGAGTTCATTTAGGAAAGTGAATTTTTATTAAGTAAGAAATCTTTTGGAGATAGGAAACTGTTTAGGCTTTGTATTTCTTCCCAATTAGGATTCTCCTAGCGTCTAAATAAGATTTAAACTTGATTGGTACATAAGAAAAACATCTCATGCGGATCCATGCAAGCGGTATGGGCTGGAAGTGACATTCTCGGCCAATGCAAAATCTGGTCTTCAGCACGAGCTTGCTATTTGGCACGGCTTGGGTACAGTCTTTTTTGGATTTTTGGCTGGTTTTTTTATAAAAAAATCCTGCAAAATTTTTCAAGATCAAGTGAAATATGATTCATGGAAGCTTTGAATAAAAACATAAATAAAACTAAATAAAAACTAATTAAAGTAATTAAAAATACTAAAAAGCATAATAAAAACTATATTAAAAATGCTATAAAAATAACACCTATCAACATGTGGTAAATCTAAACTTACACTAATATAATAACTAATTAATGAGGCTTATTTCAGTAAGAAGAGTCTCACGTTAGTAACTAAATAACGTTTAAAATTTGAAATTCAGTCTACACCTCAACATGTTACATGCTCATTATTAAATTCCTATTGTCCTATTATTTGGTGTTCTACGGTTGATTTAGCAGTAACAATAAGAGCAGATGTTACATGTTTTTCCTCATAGGATATGCTTGTATCATCCTTCAACTCTCTAGCAAAACCTGCTAATTAAGTTCAAATTCCATAAACAGAACAACAATCATAATTTTCAAATAATAGAAATGAAAAATTTGCAAATAATAGAACTGAGTTGTAATTTCCACTTCCTTGAAGTAAGTTGAGCTTCAAGTGTTTATTATGTTCAATAATTAAAGGAAGGGTAAAACTACAGTACATAATAGGAAATTTTTGTATCTATGAAGAAGTATATTTATACCATTAGATTTCAATAACTTCTATATAAACCATTAGATTTGATTAAAAGAAGATTACTTACTACTTGTAGATTAGGTTAACAATATACTAATAGTATTTTATTTTATTATTATTTTTATAAATATAATAAAGTTTTCAATTTGAGTCTTTCTACGAACACCAAAATAAAACATTTGTTCTCCTATCAAATAAAAGATTTAATTTTTTCTTCTCTTTAATTTCATAAATAAGCTAACTATTATTAAAAACAATCTAATAGTACCACTATTAAAATAATACGATCTAAATTATTTTGTAACTTAAACTCTTATATTAGGAAAAACTATGCATTGACAATTTATTTTATGTCAATATGCTTTTCACAATTAGATTTATTTTAAATATTGTTATTATTAAATTTATAATTATTTTTAACTAAGATATAATTATGGGCATCAAAATTATTTCAAATTTTATATCATTATCAATTAAAAAAATACAGTTATTCTCTAAAAAAATATAGTTATACATGAAATATAATTTTTGTTAGTAGAAATATGCTATGAATTTTTATTATTTTTATAGATTTTTTAATTTCATAGCCCTTCCTATAGTATATACTGTTATTTCTATATTTTTTAACATATAATATTTTTGTTAATAAAAAGAAAAGTTTTTGAACCATTTCTTTTATACTGTGAAAGAAAAAATAAATTTTGTACCATTTAAAAAGGATAGTCTATCCAGAAAAATTTGGAAGAAAAAAAATACTTAAAAAAAAAAAAAAAGAGATAATCAACCTGATATAGTAGGTTTATATACTTGTCACATGTCATTAAATTGTAAATTCTGTATCGATACAGAAATAAGTGTTTCTGTATAGTAGGAAAAACCTTAAAGGAAATAGAAAATACAAAACATATCTATAAGTAGCTTCTCCACTTAGTTGATAGCACACAAATTCAAAATATCACAATGAATAAACATCTTCTTTATATGTTCCAAAACATATTTTGAAATGTAAAATGTAAATAAACAGTAATAAAATGATTAATTAATTAGCTCTTGAACTGCTTTTTTCTAGCTTAACAATTGCAAAATTAGCTAATTCAATTATATATATAACTTGCACATGGGTTATAATATCACATGATACTTCTACCAAATTTTGCTTCAAATTGCAACAATATTCACCATTTTTACTTTTCTTAATTAATAAAACTAAAAAAAATACTAAGGAAACCAAGTTATTGTGATTAATTAATTAGCTATCAAATCAGAATTACTCAAGTTATAAATATAACCTGCACGTGAGTTCACTTTTTACATCACATGATTCACCATTTCTTCTTTCCTTAATTAAGAAAATAAAAAAATTACTAAAAAAAACTTTATTTGTTTTGTTTTCAATTGTTCTCAATAATTAAATAAAAAGTTTGCATTTTAGTAAACAAAAAAATGAAAAATGAAAAGGCTTGCTCACATGCAATCAACCAGATGAATCATCCACGCATCGCAAAGACCCAAAAAACACTGAAAAAAAAAAAACTCTAAAAAGCACATCATTTTACTCGAACTGTCACCTCTCCGCAACAA